ATATTCGTATATACCTCGTAAGCACTGGTTTATCCAAAATATAGTAAGACCACTGTATAATTCCTGTACCTAAACTAGAGGGTATATATTCGTATATACCTCGTAAGCATCGGTTTATCTGGAATATGGTAAGACCACTGTATAATTCCTGTACCTAAACTAGAGGGTATATATTCGTATATACCTCGTAAGCATCGGTTTATCTGGAATATGGTAAGACCACTGTAAAATTCCTGTACCTAAACTAGAGGGTATATATTCGTATATACCTCGTAAGCATCGGTTTATCTGGAATATGGTAAGACCACTGTATTATTCCTGTACCTAAACCTAAACTAGGGTATATATTCGTATATACCTCGTAAGCATCGGTTTATCTGGAATATGGTAAGACCACTGTATAATTCCTGTACCTAAACTAGAGGGTATATATTCGTATATACCTCGTATATCGTAAGTTTATCTGGAATATGGTAAGACCCTGTATAATTCCTGTACCCTAAACTAGAGGGTATATATTCGTATATACCTCGTAAGCATCGGTTTATCTGGAATATGGTAAGACCACTGTATAATTCCTGTACCTAAACTAGAGGGTATATATTCGTATATACCTCGTAAGCATCGGTTTATCTGGAATATGGTAAGACCACTGTATAATTCCTGTACCTAAACTAGAGGGTATATACCTCGTAAGCACTGGTAAGCACTGGTAAGCACTGGTTTATCTGGAATACGGTAAGAGCATTGTATAATTCCTGTACCTAACCTAGAGGGTATATATTCGTATATAACTCTAAGAGCATCTAATGACTTTGGCATTTCAGTAACACGACTCCGCAATAATGATTCGTTAATCTGATTTCAACTAACTTGGACTTAAAACGCCTAGGCGACATTAAATTGTAACTCCCTAATCTGACGGTATAACTCTAACACAAGCAGTAATGTGAACCGTCGTCAGTCTAAGTAAACGTAATGATCTAGAAGCCAGACCCCCAAAATGGTGAAAATGTGGTGCAGTTCTGGCGACCAAACGGGATGTGATTTTTCACAATCAGGAATGATTAAGCTTTGATTTGAAGCCGGTTGTCATCAGCTACCGTGCGCGACTACCGTGCAGGGGCCCTTTTAAGGTGCAACATGTCATGTCGGTTATGGCAATATTTTAACTGATAACTGGATGGTTTAATTTTAATAACTCTGGTTTGGTTTGACCGATTTTCATAACAATAGTAGTTTTGGAATGCTGATACTATGATTTAAAATTGTGGACAATAATATTACATATAGTTGAACATAAAAAATTAAAGGTAATTTTTCCAAAATGATGATTTTTTGATTCAGCTAAATCATTCGAAGATCATATACTTTTGGTTGGCATTGTATTCATAAAAAACTATTACAAGGAAACAAAGGTTGGTACTTTGTATTTAGATCAGCAAAATATTATATAATGTCTGTTCAACAGTAACAGCTCCATGCTTTACATAGTCAACGATACCAAATATGCCAAAGATACTGTTGGACTATCATTAAATCACACAACATAACAGAAAGCTCTCAAATGTATAATTCAATTATTCAAGATGTCTTTCTTTACTCATCAAAGAATGATGAGTCTGTCATGTCATCATAACACAAGCACCATTGCCTTCATATCAATTCGTATTTATTGTTCTTAACAGTTATAATGTATTCCCAGTTGACATGTTAGCCAATGTCAACAATGTCAAGATCAAGGGAACATGTTTCAAGTCCAAATCAACATGCTGAAGTACACAACAGGTTCAACCTCTTGCAGCCACACCTTCCTGTACATTGATTTTTACGTGCACAGATATCAAGTTGAAGAAGGTCCACGGAAACGATTTAGTTTTAACTTTATCACAGAGTAACAGAGGAATATGTGATGAAGATCTTTTACGACAGAAACATACTGCTTTAAATGCTAAACATTAAGTGCCTGCTTTTATGGACAACTCAAAGGAATTCCTAGACAATATTCATTTAAACATCTTGCTTCTACTGTAACGTTCATAAAAATATGCATACCTCATACCTTTAGTAATATATAATGATATCCACAAAAGAGTTACACATGGCATGGTCATGACACTATGAGCATCGATCTTCACAAGTGGGATACGATGGCATGCATCAAACAAGTAAGTGAGAACGACCACCCGATCACATTTGTTCGCGCTTACAACATGGGTTGCTGAACATTAATTTTGGCCCAACATATTTGTGAACCTGTGAGAATGGTTAATGAATAAATGCATAGTCAGTCTCATGATATCTGTTGTAGATCATTCCAAATGCTATTATTGAATGTATGTCGCCAATATCTTTTCTGGTCTCTTTTCTGAAGGGTTTACTCCCAAAAGTTAGACGTCCCAAAAGTCATACATCCCAGTTGTCAGACAAATCAATCAATGTGATTATAACCTAGTCTTACCCACTGATATAATGAACCTGTCCTATACACTAACGAGATGGTTTTCACATTTGTACAGAAATACTTTGGTCAGAATGGTTATGTTGACTAGCTTACTCAATCACTGGGTTGTCCAAATGTGTTTTCACAATGTTCAATTTTATCATAACAAGATTATAGATTTTGCATGCTTGTTTTCACGACCTTCCCTTTGATCAAAACAGGATTATAGATTTTTTTATGTTTTTGAGTTCTCATTAACCTAATGGAGTTACTTCATTCCTAACATTGTTTTTCCAGCATAAACAATATAAAATATAGAAAGAAGTACAGGGTGTAGGGTTTACATTCAATTATAACTGGTAATAATAGGAAAACATTATCCACTCTACCAAATTCAACAAACACTAAATACAAAATGTAAACATTATCACCAAACACGCTTTTTTATCAACTTTATTTTGTAACCTTTTATATGTTCATCAGTATTCACTTAATAAATATGTTTTTAAACATGGGTTGGTTGTAAAGCAACATATTAACAAAATACAATCAAATTAAACAGGTTTCTGTCCTCAAACAATAACAATATCAATAACCATTTATTATACTACACCTATATTAAATTCCAAATCTCTATTACTCTTTACCTATTTCATATTTTTTACCTTTTTTACCTTAGTTGTGCGTGCGACGCCAAATAAAGCAAATAACTAACTAAGGGTTAACAACAAACGATGGCTGGTCTTCAGAGAGTAGAATAGCTGAAGTCACAGAAGGGTACTCCTCGGGTATTCCTTAAAGGCCACACATACACCAAGAACAGAGTCAGGGGAGAGTTTGTTCACTGGCGATGTGGAAGAGGAAGAGGGTCTATACAGGGAAACTGAGAACAGGCTGATGCGTCTGCAAGAGAGACTGCGTGCAGGAGGGATAACAAAGATGGACTTCCTCGGTGAAGTTAGGCATATGCTCAGACTTGGTTGACAGTCTTGCCTGTATAGTGAAAGATGTGAAAGATGTCAAATCTTAAATCTTGAATGATTTGATTGACCATTTAAATTATCTTGTTATATTAACTTATTTTGTTTTTATGCCAAATAAAGTCGTTTCAAAGTCATCCATTAATCATTTAAATTATCTTGTTGAATTAACTTATTTTGTTTTATGTCAAATAAAGTCATTGTCATTATCCATAATCTCTTCTCTTTGTGTTTGGATTAGTACATTTGGACTAGTCCATTAATCAACGACGGTAACAGTGTAGTGAACCTCAGTGTAACCAACCATAACCTTTGTTGTTTTAACGCGTCTAACTTTTGGGACGTCTAACTTTTGGGAGGACACCTTCTGAAGTCGTACCTCAGAGAGCCAATTGTCAAGTTGCATTTAATTACTATCAGCTATTCAATACACGCACAGAAGTTGGTATTTACGTTGACAGGCGCTTTAGAATTATATTTTGCACGGAAACCCTTGAATCGTCTATACATATTGAAAGTATTGAGTGATCTCGCATAGATGGACACTAAAACACCAACTGTCGTTCATTTCCTGATTTCAGTATGTCGCATGACTACGTTGTCCTTCAAGCAGAGTGAATGAATTGACAATAGTTATCGCTTCATGGAATTGGCTCACGTGAATCACTATCTTCAACAGCTGATGAACGTCGACAGTACAACGTCAGCTCTAAAATACTGACAGACTTCACCCAGATGGCCATTACGAAGTCGGCTGTAGTCAACTGTAGTCAACTGTAGTCAACTGCATTGTTCCAACAGATATAACGTAGCCACCAGCTGTGATCAGCAGAGCGTGTTTCAAATGAAGGACATCTTCTGCTTGCCCAGATCTATATATTTATTTTCCGAATACGAACGCTAATATTACTAGGAGATTAGCTTTTTTAAATGCGTTTCCCTCGCTGGTCGCTGGGTTAAAGGCCGGGAGAGCCACATTTCCGAAACAGATAGCCAAAATTGATGTGGCTCTCCCGGCAATAGTTATGGTTGCGTGAACATGGAATGTGGCTCTCCCGGCTGTGCTGTAAAACATGTTTTGTGATTCAAACAGGTTACCGTATTTAACAAAACAAGACATGTTTCCTCATAATTTTATTCAGATCACAACAGATTTTATTTCTATAATTAGCACAATATAATATACTAACATTACATATAATATTATCACATTATAATAAAAAATCTTAATCTGTAAAAACATAATAATAATGATAATGGTTTAGTTTGTTGCCATGTGTACATTTCTCATGAAAACTTTCTGCTGCATTGTGATGCGTGGACGTCCACTTCTTGGTCTATCTACGGTGACCCCAGTCTGTTTGTCGCGCTGAATAAGTCTTATAACCTTGATATCGTGGCATCCGAGGGCGTTGGCAACAACAGGAGCGTACCTGCCATTAGGCACTGTACGCACGTGCCTACACTTAATTTTTTCGGCAATGTTTTTACATGTGGTATGCTATGGATTAACTTTTGCGAGAGTAGTCTACCTTACGATGAAAGGTTGATAATTCTCATGCAACATTGATGTCAACATGGCATCTAGCACTTCAAAAACAACTGACAAGTATTTCAAGATTTCATCCGTGAAAGATGATACTAATGAGCTTGCTCCTCAGCAAGAGGAAAAGAAGGTATCCGTTCCAGAGTCCCATTCGCCACCATATTTAGATCCGGTCAATTATGGAAATGGTTTGGCTGATCAGGAAAAGAAAGATTTTCTTACATCGAAATGGCAAGATTGTCATTTGTTCAATTTTCCATCAAGGTATGAACATTGCAATGATATAATTAGGACATTCAGTGTAGGTCTCTTTAACATATTCTCTATGATTTAGATATAGTTACTTAAAGGCAGCAATTCATAGATTGAAGCTAATGCTTTTTATCTAATACTAAGAATTACCCATTCTACTGCACCGTACTGATTTCTGGATTCCAAAATGTATTTTGTAATTTGGAAGGATGGCTACAGCATGGACATGTTAAAACCGTTTTGTTAAAATCAAGTAAAGAAGTTTCGAGTTCATGGCTCATAGCCTTTTCTAGTTTTTCGAAAAGACTTTAAAGAACTTAATTCTTTTCAGCAAAAGATCAAGTACTTAAATTGTAAAAAAGCCTTTTGAGTTACAAACTTATCGGTACTTTTACTGTGTAAAATTCACATTAATCATTGAATGGACCATAGGAATGGTTAATTTAGTATTACGCCATTGATTTCAGGACCTTTGGGGATAAGAAAAGAAGTTACACCGATGGATAACAGAGAACCCATGGTTACGCTACAGTGTTACGTTAGATTCCCTTTTTTGTGCCTACTGCATGCCATTTCAAACGGGAGAGTGCAAAGAGAAAGCCTTCATATCACCATCGATATCAGATTGGAAAAACCTATCAATGCTTGTAAAGTGTCATGAGAGTAGCACACAACACCGTGGATGTGTTTCGTCGGCAGAGCATTTTTTACAGATACATGGGGGAACGACTGCATCTGTTGTGAGTCTTTTGTCGTCAAGTCATAGCAAAGATGTCGTCACCAATTGCCATGTTCTTCAAATAATAATTGAAGTTATTATTTTGTGTGGACGACAGAACATAAGTCTCCGTGGACACGTTGAGGATAGGGGAAACTTTCTTGCAATCCTGGGCGAAGTTGCCAAATGTGATGAGACTCTGGCCAATCACCTTGCATTGGGAGATATTCGGGCAAGATACACTTCCCCGAAAATCCAAAATGAGCTCATTGAACTTGGTGGAAATGAGATACTTTCGTCCATTGTTGAGTCCTGCAAAGCTGCAAAATATTTTGTAATAATCGCAGATGAGTGCAGTGACGTGTCCATCCATGAGCAACTGTCTTTGTGCCTCCGATTTTTAGACAAAGATTTAAATAGACAACTGGTCATCAGGGAGGAGTTCGTTGGTTTTCGTCATGCAGAGAGTCTAAAAGGAGAGGCAATTTGTGAACTGCTTTTGCAATTTCTTGACGATTTGGGACTAGACGTGCAAAATGTCAGAGCTCAGTGCTATGACGGAGCAGCAAACATGGCTGGGAAGTTCAAGGGGGTACAAGCAAGAATCAGAGAGATAGTACCGGATGCAAACTACGTGCACTGCAAAGCTCATGCTTTAAATCTGGCACTGATAAACAGCAGCTCAAATATGTGTGTCAGAAACATGATGGCGACAGTTCAGGCAATAGCCTTTGCCTTTGATTACTCAGCAAAACGCTTGCTGTCATTTGCAAATGAGAACGAGGAAGTACAGAGCCAGATGCAGAAGCGTACAAAGCTGCGGACATTGTGTGAAACACGATGGTCCAGTAGAACTGATGCTCTCTTCACCTTTCTGACATCTTTCCCAGTGATCGTATCTGCTTTGGAAGATCTGAAGGAAGATCATGATGACAAGGCTGGACAATATCTGAACGCCATCTTGAGCTTTGAATTCATTATATCCCTTGTTGTTGCTCAGCACGTATTGTGATGCACTGTGGCGCTGTCAGGCTATCTTCAAAACACAGACATCGACCTCATGGAGGCAATCACTGAAGCTAACATTGTAATAGGCTGAGTCCGCAATGAGAGGAACGATAATGCTGTTTGGGCTGCACTATTTGAACAAGCTTGTCAACTCGCTGACGAGTATCACCTTCAACTCCTCGCAGAAACACTCGTCAGCGACATAGAGCTAACCATCCTGTCCAAGAACCATCAGATTCTGGAAAGTGTCCCTCTATCTTGTCTTCACAGATCATCTGATAGAAGGCATTTCGGACAGGGTTGTGAAGAATGAAGACAGGTTCATAACGTCGGCTCTGATACCAGCGAAACTATCAACTGACGCAGTGACAGACAGGATTGCAAATGTCTTCAGCAAGGACTTGGTGGACAAGGATTCGTTTTGCCCGTGACTTCAGCATCAAGCGAGAGATCCTTCAGTGCAATGAGGAGGATCAACACGTACCTTCGGTCCACCATGGGTGATGTCCGTATGTCATCACTTGCACTGATCCATGTGCACAGAGACATGTCAGTAAACACACTCCGTGTCATTGAGCAATTTGCTGCTCGGAAGACGAGGCACGTGGATTTCATGTAAACCAATATACGTACATAACATGTTGACAGCAATAAAGTTTACTCATCAGAATATAGACTTTCTTTTCTTAATGTTTATATAAAGTAATCAGGAGCTAGCATTCTGACATTCAGTATGTATTCACAACACTGTAGTCTGTACATGCAACAACTGGCTTCAACCGATATAACTAGCACTAGTCTACAGATTTATTTTCAATATGCATATAAATTGTATGCTGACTTTTTGTTAACCCCTCACACACACACACACACACACACACACACACACACACAAGAAAATGCATGGAAAGTTGGGTTTTTTTTCCCCTTTTTATGAAAAGTAAATCAGCTGGTACATAACATTTTATGGCCACATAGATTATTGACTTTTGCTGAAAGAGCTATTTTGTCATTGCTTAAATATGTCATGAAATATTTGTTAGAATATATTTATCAGTTCAATTTTAGTAACTTCCCTATGAAAATACATTTTTTTTAAAGTTTGAAATACGCTTTTTCACGAAAATATAGCAGGAAATGCTGCCTAGAGTGATCATGCAAATTATTTTTGCAAATTATTGTGTGGGGCGGATGACCCCAAACCCCTAGCAGTGACACGTTCAGTTGTGCCTACATTTGATTTCTCTCCTGGGTACGCCCCTAACAGCATTCCGCTGTTACCCATCTGGCATATTTCTCGTGCTTCTGTATCATATCATGCATTCTTGGCTCTACAAGTGAAATTTGCAAATACTGCTTGAATATAGTTTTGGCATTCTACAAGTGAATCATTTTGATGTTCCTAAAATACTGCTTGAATATTGTTTTCACGATAATGCGATTGATAAACTGAATGTGTACAATGTTACTTTGCAACAGTTGTTTCTTTTTAATAATTGGAAAATGTTAACTTAAAGATCAACCTTTTTCGGTGTTCCTAAACACTTTGTCGAAAATCGGACAATTTAATCTTCTGAAAAAGAGGCAGTTCACCTAAATATGAATGCGTTTGAGAATTTGGTTCGTGATTTGCATAAAGCTGTGTTGTTAAGTTTCCTTGTAAACTAATACCTTCTAACATAATTTTGTATTCAAGCAATTCATAGATGGTAGGAGGGTAACGTTTCTTTTGGCGTCTAGCGTAGGAACAGTCATTTACCGGTTACGGTAATCCATTAATTAATTAATCTATTGGAAATGTGGCTTTACCGGCTACAGCCATGTAATGGAAATGTGGCCTTCCCGGCAATAGTCATTTTTGAAATGTGGCTTTCCCGGCCTGACACCGGTCGCTGGGACCTTACACATACCAGTAGTCTCATACTCCAGACTTTCGCCCCCAACCCTTCTGTAGTGCAATAGTCCAAAATGAAGCCAGTCTAGACCCCCTACTGGTTCTGAATCTCCGAGCTCACTGGGGCTAATTAACTATATACGGAGTTATATATTGCTATGAAAATTTCCTATTTTCAGAATTTTTTAAAATTGATAAAGTTGCAAATAGGTTAAGGCTAAATCGTTTCCGTGGACCTTCTTCAACTTCATATCTGTGCATGAAAAAATCAATGTACAGGAAGGTGTTGCTGCAAGAGGTTGAACCTGTTGTGTATTTCAGCATGTTGATTTGGACTTGAAACATATTCCCGTGATCTTGACAATGTTGACATTAACTAACATGTCAACTGGGAATACACTATGACTATTAAGAACAATAAATACGAATTGATATGAAGACAATGTTTTCATTAGGATGACATGACAGATGTCATATTATTATCCATCAGTTTTAAGGGTTTCACGGCATGTCAGTGCAATACTGACACTTATCAAAACATATCTCCTTCTGACATCAGCTGAATGGTTGTTTCTGCCAGAATGTCAATAAACGCAAATTTGTATGACAGTTCAACAGTATCTTCGACATATTTAGTATTGTTGATACTTTTGGAGCTGAAATTATCTTATATTTTGCTGATCTAAATACAAAGTACTTACCTTTGTTTCCTTGTAATGGTTTTTCATGGATACAATGCCAACCAACGGTATATATGATCTTTAAATGATATAGCTGAATCAGAAAAACATCATTTAGGAAAAATTACCTTTAATTTGTAAAGTTCAACTCATATTTTCTCATCAAATGCCCTTTCTATAAAAAATGAGCATATATGTAATATTATTGTCCACAATTTTAAATCATGGTCTGAGCATTCCAAAACTACTATTTTTATGAAAATATTTTAACCAAACCAGAGTTATTAAATTAAACCATCCAGTTATCGGTTAAAATATTGCCATAACTGACATGACATGTTGCACCTTAAAAGGGCCCCTGCACGGTAGTCCTGCACGGTAGCTGATGACAACCGGCTTCAAATCAAAGCTAAATCATTCCTGATTGTGAAAAATCACATCCCGTTTGGTCGCCAGAACTGCACCACATTTTCACCATTTTGGGGGTCTGGCTTCTAGACCATAAGGCTCCTTCACACTTATTTCGAATTGACAGGAATCAAGGAGAATCAGCCAGAAAAAGAAATGATTTCTAAAATTTGAACCGCATTCGGGAGAGAATGTCAAAATAAACAATTTTTTGAAGCTTTGTAAGAATGCTGTTGGAATACTCGGAACGCACTTCGAACCCGCCTCGAATGATTCTTACTCATTCCAAATGTACTAGATCACGAATGCTGCTCGAATGAATGAAAATACAGTAGGAATAATTAGAATGCCATTAGAATACACTAAGAATACTGCCTTACGAGTCCGGTTCAATTGCTGCACTAGAATTTCAGTTGGAAAGTACCTCGAATCCTGTACTTATTTACATAGAATGCATTCAGAACCCTCTTGGAATGACCCCAGAATATGGATCGAATGTTAAAGAATTAAAACAGAATGCAGCTCGAATATTTCAAATGTCCTTCAAGTGTACCTAGAATGTAACACGAATGTCCGAAATGCACCAAGAATGCTTCTGGAATGTTCCACGATGGGGTATAAAGACCTGTTGGATCTGGACTATTGACCATGTTGTTTAGCTCCAGATTGCTGTCCTCCAGCAAGACCTGATTGAAAGAGATGTGGAGGAGACCAGAAGAGGAAACAGGAGAAGAGCCAGGAGATTCCAGACCAGACCATGGCTGACAGAGGAAAGGAGGATGGTGTATGGACATTACACAAGACTGACAGAGGAAAGGAGGATGGTGTATGGACATTACACAAGACTGACAGAGGAAAGTTGAGGACAACTACCTTAGGATGGAGCCTTCCATGTATGACATTACACAAGAGCCTGCCATGTTTGATGACAGAGGAGTTGAGGATACCTTTGGATGGAGCCTGCCATGTTTACACAAGAGTTGAGGACAACTACAGAGGCCATGTTTGAAAGGAGTTGAGGACAACTGGTGGATGGACATTACACAAGACTGACGGAGTTCAAAGTTGAGGACAACTACCTTAGGATGGAGCCTTCCATGTTTGATGAGTTGGTACAGAGAGTGGGACCAAGAATACAGAAGCAGGATACATATATGAGAACAGGTGGAATGATCCTCATGCCGTAGGTGCTTTAGCTCGGGTAACACTGCTACAAAGAGTCGTACATCAGACCATATTACCCTTGAGAGAAGCATACAACTTGTATAGTTTCAGTATTAAAGTTAGTATTTTTTACGTCAGCTATCGTTTATACTGAAGCTAAGTCTAGTTTCAAAATAGGCATTTATAAAGTGTCCTTTGAAATACAATATCATCACACACTAATCTGCATAAATCCATGGTCTGTTCTAAAATGTAATTTTTAGAGTAAAATTGATATTTTATACTTATCCTGACTCATGCTCTTTTGCTTGTCTTCTTCTTCTTGCAAACATAGTGGAACACTTGTATCTCCTTATTTGAAGCTCCCTTCAAAATAAAATCACTAATTGGTACTCACCACGAGTTGCTCCCCTTTGTCTCCCCTGGCGGGAAAAGGTGTCGCCACCCTCTGGCCATGTGCTCCACTCTCTCCTGATTTAGCGAGCCCAACACTTGAATTTACAGGAAATCCAAAGTGTTATGTGGGGAGGATGGGAGGGCTAACCTCATGAGTCAGGATAAGTATAAAATATCAATTTTACTCTAAAAATTACATATTTTTCCTTATCCTGACTCATGCTCTTTGCTTTGTAGCATCCTACGGAACGGAGGTGGGTAACAGAATACTTTGGATTTATAATTAGTGATTTTGTATAGATATACTGTAATATCCCCTACGGGAACTTCATGAAGCCTTAGATTTAGGATGTTTCCTGTATAAAGAAAACCATAGGTTATATAAAGCCATTAAAGGGGAATTACATTATGAATATATTGAACAATACATATAAATTATATATATATATATATAGGTGACTCTGATAGAGGCACTGAAATTGACTATATCCAAGTATATGCTTAAGGTTGAATACTTAAGCTGAACATATATACATAGCCCTAAAACTCCTTAGAGTTATAAGCTAGATGAGTGTGTATAAAATACATATTAATCTTGTGAGGCTAATATTTTAACGCCTACGAGGGACTGTCAGTTGCTGAGCGAGGACCAGTGGTCCGAAATGGTGAATGCCAGAGACATCTTCTGTAGTGATGTCTCTTAGGTAGTGATTAGCAAATACCATGTTAGATTTCCAATAGCATCCTTCCATAATCGTGTTCAAGGAACAGTTACCGTGTAGGGCGAGGGTAGAGGCCAGTGCCCTGATCTCATGTGGATTTGATGCTGTTGGTGGGTCCAAGCCTGCTGCCTTGTAGGCACGGAGAATGACAGTCCTTATCCAAATAGATATTGTGGTCCGTGACACTTCTGTTTGATTCGTAGGCGATAATGGGATGAATAAACGTTTGAGAAATCTTCTCCTTGTTTGGATCGTCGTAAATAAACTTTGAGCTCTTACCGGACACAGTGATAGGTCTTGTGTATCTTGTGATCGAGAATAGAGGATAAGCGCCGAATGTGGAATGGAATAATCT